ACATGGCTAGGTTTTTTGCGTTTTGTATATTTCTGATTAGTCTTCTAGTTTTTTGTATTGTTGTATGGTTAAACCATATGAGAGTATATGTTGTGTAGTCGACTTGTTTGAATTGTGGTATTATTTTTTGTTCCCTATTATCTCTTTTTTTTCTTTTTTTTCTTTATGAGAAAGTGTCATTAGTTTGGTGGTATTCTATTGTAGAACAGAAATCTTGACAGGGCAGTGCAATAGCAAATCTAGCATTACTGACAATCAAGAGTGCAGTCTTATGATCAGAAAAAATTTTAAGTTTGTTTACTTTAGGGTTAGAGTAATGTCTGAGATTTTAGTAAGGTATTATATATCTGCAAAATATAGCAAGAATTTTTTTGTTAGAGCATAAAAGGCAGTTTCTTATATAAATTTTCAGAAATAAATGATTTTTTCAAAATAAACGTTTGTTTTGAAATTTTTTGATCATGTTATATTATGCAAAATTGTAACTTAATATTGGTTGATTTTAGTAGAAGATCATATGACTGCATCCTCAATTGTCAGTAATACTAGAACTTTTGCAATACAATAGATAGCTGAGGAATCTAGAAGAAATAAGTCTGAAATAAGTTCCGGATCTCTGGAAGAGGCCAATTGTTTGATAGGCAGGTTGCATCTAGCCAAAACATTGCAGTTTAATGGTTTGCCCTGACTGCAAGTAGATGTTATAGCATTTGTGAGGTATGTTGTGAGTAAGTTTATCTTATTATAGAATAAGTTGTAGTATTAGTTTTAATATTAAGTTTATTATTAGTTATTATTATTATTATATTATTATTATTATTATTTTTTTTTTTTAAAGAGTGAAACCTGGTCTCAGTTTTTTTATTAATAATATTTTCTATTATTACAATTTAATATCAAGATATTTTTACATATTTTGAAATTAAGCTATCTAAAAACTTTCGACTAAGGCTAGTTTACCTTCGGCCTAGGCTCTACTAAGAGAAGGCACCAAGTTCTCACTCAGATTGCGTTTGATATATTGTGTTAGAAGGTGCGTTATACGTATAGTATTGTTTGGTCCAAGTTATCTATTTATTCTAGGCTGTTTGCTGTGGGTTATTGTCTGTATTTGTTTGTGTGTTTTGTTGATTTGTGTTGTTATTTGTATTTTGTATTTGGTTATTATTTGTTGTTTGAGTTGTAGTTTTGCAATGGTTTTTCCATGTTTGGTTGTAGATCATTGATTAAAATAAATATAAAATACCATTTACGTATACAATATTTTTGTAAAAATGGTTTTAATTTGTCAATCTTTTCTAAAGGAATATCTGCTTTAGTAAAGGCTTTAATTAGATCAGTATTAATTTCTTGCTTATCGGTTATTTGAGTCTAAAGTTCAGTTAAGTTTTGATGAGCTTGTGAAAGTTCACGAGATTCAGCAATTTTTTTTTCTCTTTCATGTTTATTAGATTTTAAATGTAAATCTAAATTATGTTTTTTTTGTTGAGTAATAAGGCATTTACAAAAAATACAGTAAATTTTGCCTTCACTCTCATAAAAATCATCCTTGTATTAAGGATGTCGCTCTAATATCGAGGAAGCTACTGGTGGCATTTTTTCAAATGTTTTTTTTCAATACTAACTAGTACGTTAATTTAAATTTATAAAATTTACAACGTTATTATTTAATTGTTCACAACAAAAATGATAATTGTTAATTGTAACAAAAGCGAAAGTCACATGTCTAGTCCATTATTGTAAAAGCGAAAATCATGTGTATAGTCCAAAATTAGTAAAATTTAGCATCTTAGCACAAGACAATTGTTGCTAGCTATTTTGCTAAAAAATAGCATGCTACAAAAATCCGAGGTCTCTGGTATACACTGACGGAGCCATATTATTGCCCAAATAAACTTCTCTTTGATTAATAATAAGCATTGATAATTCGAATGATGGATATATAATTATAAAGGAGCAATTGTGTTTTGATCCAATTCTTTCTTTAATACTTCAATGTCACATAATAAACTACCAACCAACGAAGACATTTTTGAGCCTTTAAATTCTCGCAAGTGCAAAATACGGGAAAAATGGTGTCATGGTGACGACCAACACCCCTTGTATCGGTATTGCTAGGGTTAGGTACGATCACGGGTCACCCGATCCTGACTAAGATCGGGATTTGCATAAGTGGCGTGATGCGGATTTGCATAAGTGGGGTGATTCGAATTTCGCATAATGCATGAATTAATTAAAAGTCTAATCTAGTGATAGTCTAATGCGTGTAACCCGGATAAACATATATCCGAAGATAATCTTGTATTTAAATATAGCGATCTTGATAATAAAAAAAGAAGATTTGGCTTTCGAATAAGTTTTAGCTTAGTGAAAAACGTTCTAAAGGAAAAACTGTGTGGTCAACGTCGTAGTATATTGGTGGTAGTACCTGGAACGATACTCCAGACTGTGTGGAAAGCCAAGCGGGTTGAATTGGAAGGCCGAAGTAACGAAGACCCCGTATAACCGTAGTCTCCTTTGACAATGGTTTTATGAGTTCGAAGACTTTTCTTGCAAATTTTTCATATGTTAAAATAGACAGGAAGGAATATAAAGTTAAAATATTCATACTTCTCTCACACGATATTTGAAAGAATATCCAGCCATTAAGCCGTGCAACATATGGGACTCTTACCAATCCAGAAAGAGTTATAATGGTATTATTAGGCCACGCAAGTTTTACAATATCCACCGGCCCATTTTTTCAACTTTCAAGTTTATAACCCCAATTGTGTAAATTATTATATTTTTGCCATTTAGTTTTTTCATAAATTACTCCAGTATCATCGATAGAGATCTTGTTTTCCCGAAATTATCTGATAGAACTAATAGAAAAGATTCGAATTTTTGATTCTATGTTATCGAAAAATCAACTTTTGCGGCCTTAGACGTGAACATGAGTCTATTAATTTACTGTATATTAAAAAAAAAAATCCGACCAACCGACCAAGAATTTTGAAATCCGTTTAATGCAAAACGATAAATCGACTTTGTGTGGCCCTATTCAGATCTAATTATGAAATAATATCTGATATAGTATTCGTTGATTTGATTTTTTTTTTTTTTTTTTTAGATTCAAACTTAATGATGGCAGCAGAAATATTTATACTTAATAATTCGAGTAATTCAACATCTCCCCAACTCCAACGAGATCTAATTTTAGCAAGAAACCAAGGTTATCAGCTCAACAACTACCTTTAAAATCTATTACTAATCAAGCGGCATCATATTTTATACCCACCTTTCATAACTTCATAAATCATCCGAATTTGATAACAAGAAGGCAATACCCTATCATTTCCACTATTTTGAATTGAATTTGCAATATGTAATTTTTTTTTCTATGTAATTTCCGGGCATAACAATTTTAAATGAATTTTAATTGAAATTTTAAAAAATACAATTTTTACGTATCACATGATTTTAATACATAGTACCTACCGGTTAACAAGAAAATATTAAGCAAATTAAATAATACTTTATTATTTTGATTTGGTTGAATTGAAATTCCTCCAATATAGCGCTGTAATTTTGCGTTCCACTATACACTAATGCTGATGAAAGTGTAGATCAATATACAGTAATTGTGAAGAATCTAATATGTTCATCTTATAAACACAATATCCGCTATAACTATATATTTTATGCCCAAAATTACTCCTTAACAAATTTAATCTCTTCGTTTCTATCAATCTGAATGTAGGTATTGACCCATAAGTATTTAGTTCACTCCATTGCCCCAATATTGTATCATATTTACTAACAAGATTTCCAGCATAGGATCCACCAATATAAAGAATTGTAGTCTCATTAGCATAAGCTATCGCTCCAGTTTTATAAATTTTCCAAGGCATTAAATTTATTTTAGTGGTTATTATAATGTATCCATCATATCTGTGACTCCAGCCAATTTGAAAATAAAGTTTTTCATTATCTAAATACTTGTTTTGACGCCTTGAATACTCAATAATGTTACTTTTTTATTTATGCTTCATATATATTTATTTTTTTAATACAAACTAAGAAATATTTAACAACAATTCAAAAAGTTGAAAGTTTATATAACTCATAAATAAAATTTGATTATTCAAATTATCAATTTAAATTATCAGTTTTTTCTATAATGTTTATAATCACCTGCTTCATTTATTAATTAAATCATTTATTAATAATTTATTACTATTTCAATAAACATTACTCATTTAAACCTAAATTATGCTAGTAAAAAAGAAAATATGAAGAATATACCATCCTTTGTAGTACTTTACTAACCAATAATCTCATAATAAATATGTTAATGTAATGTTTGTAGGAAAAATTTTTTTAATACACTTACGCTTTTTTTATTTTTGCAATTTTTGAAATCAATTGGATTTCCAAGAAGATTTA